TTTCGAAAAAAATCATACATGTACACTATAAGTCTGTTTTATTCGTTATAAAATATTTTATTTTTCATATAATTATTTTTCTATTTCCTATAAAATTTTATTTTTATTTTATATTATTTAAATTGCCGTAACAACAAATATAATTCGTTATAAAATATATAACTATTCTCGTTTTTATTCATATTTTATACTTTATCAATTATTCTGTACGATATATATATCGTAAATATTTATCTTTGTATCACAAACATATATTTGTATATATATATATATATATATATGTTAAAATTTACGGATACAAATCGAAAATTATAATTGATATAACAAAACGATTAATAAAATAGTATCATTCAAATAAGTAACAAATATCTCTTATTCTGAATTAATTTTGATTTCAAATCACATCATCAAATTAATTCGAATTACACATATATCAATCTATTATTCATCTAACAAAGTTACCCATAATTCTGACAAAATATCATGATTTAACTATCCTAATAGATCCACTATCTAATATATCCAATCAGAATATAATATTCTAAAGATAAAAATTTAATATTAATAATAATATTGAGATTCTTTTAATGGAATAATACTATCGAGGGATCAAAATGGCGTCTTTGAAACACGTATATCTTTCCGATAAAAATATAATAATAAAAATCAAACTTGTGAAACATATACGCGTAAGAAGATAATTAAAAAAAGAAAAGAAAAGGAAAGAAAAAAAAACGTAAGGAAAAAACGAGAATAAAAAGATTATATACCGCGATAAATCGTCTATCGCTTAATTGGCTAGTTTTTTTCCGGTTACCCGATGCGAATAGTTCGACGAAAGAAAGAAGCAAGAATTGACAGTGATCGATTCGCTGGATTCGAGAGGATCGCGGTGGGTGGAGGGTGAGGGATGAGATTCGCGATAATTACAAGCTTGTTTCTTGCTCGGTGCTCTCGCTCGTCGAATTCTGGATTCGGCCAGCGTGGCTCGCTTTTCGAGTTAGCCTGCGCCACGGAATTTTGGCATTCCTCGGGAAAAAGCGAGTAGCGGGTCCCCAATCTCGTGTAAAAA